CATAAATTAACGAAGTGTCAGAACAACACCAAAAATCAGTTTGCATAGGTTTCAGGAGGTGGGCTAACCATTGCAATCATTTAAAACAGCTTCCAAACATTGTAAGACACTTTTACAGGAGCGAAAAGGGAGATCATTGTGTGAAAATCCCCCATAGGAAACATCGCTGTGTGAGGCGGCAAATTTAACAGAAAAAGGCATCGTTGTGTGAATTCATTGTTGTGTGAGGCACCACTGTACTCTGAATCAAAGTGTGCATTTTCAGTCATCCTGGGGTACATGACTTAATGCATGTACATGTAGCTTCTCTGTGCATTTCTACAATGCATTCTCAAAGAAGATGGGAAAGGATAAACTCCTTTCCTGAGTTGCATTCTTCACAGCTGAAGTGGTGAGTTGTGGCTCTGAAGACGTTTTGTGACTGCAACTCCCAACTCTGCTTTACAACGGAACAGGGTAATGTAATACTTTTGAGGTTATTCTGCAAAACAACGCATCCTGAGCTCAGATTAAACAAGAAGAGACAAAAACATAACAATGTCAAAGCAATAGATTTCTGGGGAATTTTTCTCTCTCTTCTTAGCTGAATTTTCTAGTTCTTCATTATGGGTCTAATTCTGCAACACACTGCCTCTCTTGGGACTACAGTTTTTTTTGTTTTTTTGTTTTGTTTTGTTAACTGCCTCTCTTGGGACTACAGTTTTTTGTTGTTGTTGTTGTTTTTATTTTTTGTACATGAGGATTGACATGTCTGTGTTCACCAAAAAATAGTTAGACGTGTATAGATCTATACTGTACAGGAAACACAGTCAATGCCTAGTTCCTAACAATTCCATGTAATAATGCATTTATTATTCTCTTACGGTTCTAGGGTCAAAATGTATTCGGACTCGATATAATTGAGACACCTGAGGGGGACAAGTGGCCACAATTAATAGTTCAGCAGATCCTCGATAGAGAGCAGAAGGACACATATGTTATGAAGATTAAAGTGGAAGATGGTGGGAATCCTCCACGATCGAGTACGGCCATCCTCCAAGTGACTGTCACTGATGTGAATGACAACCGGCCAGTGTTCAAGGAGAATGATATTGAAGTCAGTGTTCCTGAAAATGCCCCCGTGGGCACCTCTGTTTCTCAACTTCATGCTACTGATGCTGACCTGGGGTCAAATGCCCAGATCCACTTTTATTTCAGCAGCCAGATATCCAACTTAGCCAAAAGGTTGTTTGCCATTGATAATGCCACTGGTCTCATCACCATCAAGGAGCCACTGGACCGGGAAGAATCCCCAGTACACAAGTTAACAGTCGTGGCCAGTGACGGTAGCTCAACACCCTCAAGGGCAACAGTGACCGTGAATGTCACAGACATCAATGATAACATCCCATCAATAGACACAAGGTACATTATCAATCCAGTGAATGGGACTGTGCTTTTGTCAGAGAAGGCACCACTCAATACTAAAATTGCCCTGATTACAGTAATGGATAAGGATGCTGACCTCAATGGTAAAGTTACCTGCTTCACAGATCATGATGTACCATTCCGGCTAAAGCCTGTGTTTGATAACCAGTTTCTGTTAGAGACTGCCATGTACCTGGACTATGAGGCCACCCGGGAATATGCCATTAAAATAGTAGCTTCTGATTCAGGGAAGCCACCTTTGAACCAGTCTGCAATGCTTCTCATAAAAATTAAGGATGAGAATGACAACGCCCCAGTGTTTACACAGCCTATTATTGGACTTTCTATCCCTGAGAATAATGCCCCAGGCACCCAGCTGACTAAGATAAGTGCTACAGATGCAGACAGTGGCCGTAATGCTGAGATCAGCTACATGTTGGGCTTGGACGCGCCTCCCATTTTCAATCTGGACCGCCGTACGGGAATCCTGACAGCAGTAAGGAAGCTGGACAGGGAGAAACAAGACAGATATTCGTTCACAGTGCTAGCTAAAGACAATGGCATGCCACCCTTGCAGACCAATGCTACTGTGACTGTATCGGTGTTGGACCAGAATGACAACAGCCCAGCTTTCACACACAACGAATATAATTTCTATGTGCCAGAAAACCTACCCATGTATGGCACTGTTGGATTGATCACTGTGACAGATGCAGACTCAGGAGAGAATGCAGCAGTGACATTGTCTATATTAAATGGCAAAGATAATTTCATTATCGATCCACTCACTGGAGTCATAAGACCCAACATTACCTTTGACAGGGAACAGCAAGGATCTTACACTTTCCAAGTGAAGGCTGTAGACGGAGGAAGATTGCAACGTTCATCAACTGCCAAAGTGACAATCAATGTGGTTGATGTAAATGACAACAGGCCTGTATTTGTTATGCCGTCGTCTAACTACTCCTATGAATTGGTTCCTACTTCGACTAGCCCAGGCTCTGTGGTTACAAAGGTGTTTGCTGTTGACAATGATACAGGAATGAATGCAGAGCTTCGCTACAGCATTATAGGTGGCAATTCTAGGGGATTGTTCATGATCGACCAGTTGACAGGCAACATTACGTTGAAAGAGAAAGTTATATCAGCTGATCATGGGTTACACAGACTGGTTATCAAAGTCAATGATTTAGGGCAGCCTGAATCACTCTATACTATAGCATTGATACATTTATTTGTGAATGAAACAATCACCAATGGATCTTATGTCCAAGAGTTAGTGCGGCGAAACATGGAAACACCAGTAGGCCAAAATGTTGGGGATGGTGAGATAACCCCGCAGACCAATGACTATGTGAAGATCATCATTGCCATCATTGCAGGCACCATGACAGTAATATTGGTCATCTTTGTGACTGCTCTGGTGCGATGCCGCCAAACGCCCAGGCACAAGGTTGTCCAGAAAAATAAACAAAGTGGTGAATGGGTCTCTCCAAACCAAGAAAACCGTCAGATCAAGAAGAAGAAGAAGAAGAAAAAGCGTTCCCCAAAAAGCCTTCTTCTGAACTTTGTGACAATTGAAGAATCTAAACCTGATGATCCTGCCCATGAACATATCAATGGTACTTTGGACATTCCTGTAGAGCTAGAGGAACAGACTATGGGGAAATACAACTGGGCCACCACACCAACCACTTTTAAACCCGACAGCCCAGACTTAGCGAAGCACTATAAGTCTGCCTCCCCACAGCCCACTTTTCAAATTAAACCTGAGACTCCAGTGGCACCGAAGAAGCATCATGTCATTCAGGAACTGCCTCTGGATAACACCTTTGTGGTGGGCTGTGATTCACTCTCCAAGTGCTCCTCTAGTAGTTCGGACCCTTACAGTGTCTCCGAATGTAGTTGTCAAGGAGGCTTCAAGACTCCAGGCTCCATCCATACAAGACAGGTAAGGCCAAGTTTCTGCTTGCTTTTTGCCTTCACTTTTATGTGTTTTTCCCCCTTCCTTTTTTCCCCCCTGCCTTTAGAATTTTCTTTTAAAGCCACTGAATCTTCATGCTTGGCTGAAGCACCAAGACATAAACAGTTTGTGATTCGTTAATAGGAAAAGAAAGAAAATGAGAATGGAGTGACTCTTGGCTTTCAGGAGATTTTGATTGCTGAACGAGCATATTGGGGGCAATTCTTGTCTGCAGATGGCAGTGTGGCACTTCTTGCTTTGCATAGTCATAGCGCAGATCGCTGCAGAACAAAAGAGAGGTTATGGGTCTGTCCTCCGTAGCTGGTATCTTATGCTCAGGAATCTAAGTAATCTAGGCCAGGTGGAAAGCAATAAAGCTTTGCAGAATCTGATAAGTGGTTCTTAATGCTAATGGAGTCTGGAATTGCAGACTTCATTGGGTCGGCTCTTTACCTCAAGGTCTCTCAAAAGCAAGGAAGTTTCTTCCCCACCCACCCCCCAACTCCCTTTAAGGGACTGAGTACCATTTCCCAGACTAGAAATATGCCCTTCTATCCAGGTTCCTAAAAGCTGGGCACCTGATGCAATTGACAGGATAAAACAGTAGTGAAGTTAATGGGAGGAAATATCAGAGACACTGCAAATGTTGTGCTGCCTTTGGGAATAAAGGCACTGTACGCTCAGCTTCCAGTGCAACTTTTATATGCAATGGATGAAAATACAGCACTGCATATATTTCTTATATTGGGTAAGGGAGTCACATTCTGCTTTTTAGTTAATAAAAATAGTGTCAGGAAGCACCTTCTATAATTTAAATTGAGATTTGTGGGAGAAGAATCATGCTGTGTTAATAGTTAGATGGCTTTAGCATTAGCAGTCATATTCTTGCTTTTATGGTGATTTCTCTTTTTAAAAAAAGGCTAAACATACAAAATCTTTTTTTATTATTATTTTGAAAGAAGCTAAATGTATCAAGTCCGTTTCCACTGAGTTAATAGTTATTTGTTCTTAAAGCTGAACTAAAATGACTAGTCCAAGCTGATAATTAAGTCGACTTACCTCAGTATTGACATCTATCCATTTAGAAATGTAATTTGTAAGGATTCTTAAATTATGACTCACACACCCTACCTTTTTTGGAAGATAGTGTCCCCTTTCTCATCCCTACAACACAATATAAGTAGTAGCCAAAGTCCACATAATATGTAACACACAGAAATGCTAGACAAAATGTTCTTTTAAGTTGATAACGTATGGTGGCAAATGTTTTAGACAGTTTTGAATGCTGTCTGGATGACTCAGGCTGGTTAAATGTGTCACTGGAGAAGGCTTTGAGCTTATCCAAATGAATGTGAGGTTTCTTCACAGGGAAAAATATGCATTACAGAATTTTGACAGTTGGACGATCTGTACAGCTATTGTCCTTTCTCAGTGCTTTGATTATAAGGAACAACGAACCTGCAATGAGATTGACCCTGTTTCTAAAGACAGTAGCAATGAATTTAAATACTTATTGCAGGTTGAAAGATTATAAGCAAGACCGGTCATCTCAACAAGGCAAAGCACCATATAGAGGGTTTTACACACATGCAGACATGCAAGCGCGCACACACATGCACACACACATGCACACATGCACACACACACACACACACACACACACACACACACACACACACACACACACACACACCAGGGCATGTCTTCTGTGCAGAATCAAAATATCAAATGGAGGATTTTATTTTATTTTGATAAGGGTTGCAGTTTACATAATCTGCAAGAAATACACTTTCTGTGCAAAACTCACTTTGTTTCCTTTTGTGGAGCTAAGTGTACACCCTCACACATACACGGACACACTCCCAAAGGTATATTTAGAAAGCACAAAACACTGATTGATTTTGAAGACATAAACCAGTCTGCCCAGCATTTCTGCTTTTACTTATTCACATAATACCATAATTATTTTCCATTTTTCATGTTACTCAAATGCAAAATCTACAGACCAACACATAAATTTACAAACTCCAAACAATTTTCAAATTGTACAAAATCTCCTGAACACACAAAGCTCTTCTTGTCTTAGAATCACAGAATCCTAGAAAAGTGAAGTTGGAAGGGGCCTACGAGGCCATCAGGTCCAACCCTGCTCAGTGCAGGAATACAATCAAAGCATTTCTGCCAGGTGATTACCTAAGTTTTTCTTGAATGCCTCCAGTGTTGGAGCACTCACTAACTCCCAAGGTAACTGGTTCCACTGTTGTACCACTCTGACAGTTAGGAAGTTTTTCCTGATATTCAAAACTTCCTAACTGTTGGAGCAGTGAGACAGTGGAACCAGTTACCTCGAGAGGTGGTGAGTGCTCCAACACTGGAGGCATTCAAGAGAAACTTAGATAACCACCTGGCAGATATCCTTTGATTTGTATTCCTGCATCGAGCAGGGGGTTGGACTTGATGGCCTTCCAGCTTCACTATTCTGTGGTTCTATTATTCTGTCTTTGGATAGCAATTCACCTCGGAGGGAAAGGCTGATGGGTATTGTAGTCCAAGAATATCCAACAAAGGTTAATGGCAGTCCAGAATCACCTGGAGAGCAACAGGTTGCCCTCCACTGCTCTGAAGTTCTAATGCTTGCGCTGATGATCATTAGGAAACGTTTCTCTTGTTAATTTGTATACATTTTTGTCTAGGGGTTCTTTTTTGTGTGTGTGATTCTTGCCATTTTTCCCCTATTGCTTTTTCCAGTAAGACCACAATTCGAAGCCACAGATTCTGTCATCTTTATTGCTCAATTTTGTTTCAGTCTTCTGTCGTCCTATATCCCATATCTCCCCTGACTGTTTTGTCTAAGAATTTCTTACAATATGGATCAATATCAGTAGCCCCAAGGCAATACTTAAAGTGAGGGCAATCTTCTGTCTGCTGTCTTGGTGTGAGGGTGGCGGGGGCTGTCTGTAAACAATAAAGAAACACAATGGAAGGTGTCAGAGTGGAGTTTGCCACAGGGGTGGGTCTCTTGGATGCATGACATTTTACAACAGTGTGAAAATCATGTTTGCAAAATCATGAGGTAGGACCTGATGGGATACCAATTGTGTTATGTTGCATAATGTATTTCCTATGAGGGCATAACATGTGAATGCATATTATGTGTGTTTTAGCCATTTCACCATCATCACCCCTTCCCCATATTCTGTGGAATTGTAGTTTGATAAGTGTTTTGATTATTCTCCATTAAGTACTTTTTCAGAGTACTCTTATTGATTGATTGATCAAAAGATATCATTATCCTTCCCAGGGTTCCATGGGAAAAGTGCATGCCTATTAAATCACTTCAGGACTGTGGTACTACCTTTTAGCAGGCAGTCTAGAAAGATAACTCATCTATTGGTGGGGGTAGCTAAAACAGCATGATGTAAATATGCCATGCTGTATTTTATTTCCCCTCTTAGGCTTGAATTGTCCTTGCATACAAATTGCTGTTCATATTTTTAATTAAGTGAAGTCTCCCCAAATCCCAACCCCACCTCTGAAAATATTATGCAAAGTAATATTTGGCAGGTAGTGCCAAGGTAGTGTGGGAGATGTGATGCTTAAAGGCAGGGGCTTTTCTCATGCTGTTTCTCTGTTTGCCAGCTCTGAACGTCTTCGCATCAGCTGTTAAGTACTGAAGTCGTACACAATGATGTTAAGCCAGCAAACATGGAAATATGGGAATAGCACGAGAAAGCCCTTTGTCCTCTCTCCCTGATTGCTGAAGAATTTTATCGTCTGATCTCCAGAGGGGTTTTCGAAGTGGCGCTGAACTGTTCAAGCTGCCCTACTAAAAGGTATTCAGGGCAAGAACATTGAAGAACTGAAAGGAAAGACAAAGAGAGACTTTGGAACGTTGTGCTGTAGATGTTCTATAATGTAGTTTTTACTAAAATAAAACAAAGTGATATTAACCATCACTCGATGTGAATGGTGATAACTTTGAGATAAATCCTTTATTCTCCTTTTTTTGCTTGTAGCCATTTTGTCCTTTATGGACTCAATCCTTAATTTATTTATGTTCAGAATATATGTTGTCCCTTCTTCTTTTCCTTTTAAATATGGAAAAACAGGAGCAATAACTTTCATGCATATACACTTTAGAAGACAAAGACAAAATGCTTTATAATTCCTTTACTTCTCATTTTCTAATGTATTCTCATGTGCTCCACTGTGAGCAAATACTATTGTTTATTTTGTAATAACGATGTTAAGATCTAGATTTAGCCATAATTTAGGACAGACTCACTGAAATCTATCAGACTTGATATTGTTGTGACTAGCTCCAGTTCTGTTGATTTCTGTGAGTCTCCTTTAGGTATGGTCAAATTGTCATTATGAAAAAATGCTAGATAATAGACAGTACTGATCTGCAGATACCAGTATGGCTTAGTTTTCACACTTTTCAGACCATAAATCCTCCTGGTGTGGTGGGAAAGTGGGTGTTCCGATACCCCATACGTAATGTAAGATGCCAGAAAAAAATGCATGTAAAGGCCTGTAAGCACAGAGGATTGATTCACATATTTCTCCTCAACCCAGAAAATTAATTGAAAGGGGGCTGTGTGTAGAATGATGCAAAACAGTTTCAAACAAGCCCCTCTGTGGAACACCTGCTTCCTTAGTTATGTTTGTGAGGTAGAGAGAGATATATTTCTTCTTCTCCATCACAGAAGGAGCATCTCTGGCTCAGTAAGGCTCAGTAAGCCCTAAACATACTGACTGGAAACCATGAGCACTATGGCACATGTTTATTTCCAGGTAGACATAGAAGTGTGCTGAATGTGTATGCATTGGGTTTGAGAGAGAATCTGGCTCCTATTTCCATGTCTGTCTGTAGGCATTTGTAGCTGTCTCCCTCCCCACATTTTCTTGTAACCTGTTACGTCAGCTTTTCATGGAGATATCATTTTATGTTATGCTGAACATTATTTTTAACATCTACATAGACA